GTACCAGGCTACAGGACACGGATGAGAAGCTGAGATGGAGCTGGCAGGAACTTGGCCAGGGTCTGACAGAAGGGCAGGACCAACCTGCATGTCCATCCTGCGCTACTTGTGGCCAGCCCTCTGAGTTGCCCAGACAGCTCTGAGACTGGGGCAGAGCCCCAAACCCTCTCACCCTAGGCCCCTCTCCGCCTCCCAGGGACCCCACAACTTTCCCCTCTGTGACTCTCTGAAGGGGTGTGGGGAGGTGGGATTGGGTTAGGAGGGCCAGAGCACCTCCCTCAGAGGCCCCGCTGTGTCCTCCAGACTGGTCGTGTAGACAAGAATGTGCCTATGGTCTGTGGCCACACGGCCCCGGTGCTGGACATCGCCTGGTGCCCGCACAATGATAACGTCATTGCCAGTGGCTCCGAGGACTGCTCCGTCATGGTGAGTGTGGGGGGCACCCAGGGGCCAGGAGGGGGCTCAGGCCCTGGAGCTGATGTTGGGCGCCGCCAAGACTCACTCGCTCGCCCCTTCTTTGCAGGTGTGGGAGATCCCCGACGGGGGCCTGACGCTGCCCCTGCGGGAGCCTGTCGTCACCCTGGAGGGCCACACCAAGCGCGTGGGAATCGTGGCCTGGCACCCCACGGCCCAGAACGTGCTGCTCAGTGCAGGTGCCGAGGGGGAGACGCGGGGAGGGCTGGTCGCCTGACAGTGATGGGGGGAGGCTCCTGGCTTCTGACACTGGGGACATCGCCCAGGTTGCGACAATGTGATCCTGGTGTGGGACGTGGGCACGGGGGCGGCCGTGCTGACACTGGGCTCCGACGTGCACCCGGACACCATCTATAGTGTGGACTGGAGCCGAGATGGCGCTCTCATCTGTACCTCCTGCCGTGACAAGCGAGTCCGCATCATTGAGCCCCGAAAAGGCACCATAGTAGCTGTGAGTTGCCTTGACCTTTGACCCTGGGAGCTTGACCCTCCCCTACCGCCCACCCCCGATGAGGCCCCCTTAGATGCCGCCCTCTCCAGCTTCCAGCTGGGGCTTGGCCCTTAGAGGGTGTGTGCGGATGCCTGACCAGTCCCCTCCCTTTCCTTCCAGGAGAAAGACCGTCCCCATGAGGGGACCCGGCCCGTGCGTGCCGTGTTTGTATCTGATGGAAAGATCCTGACCACGGGCTTCAGCCGCATGAGCGAGCGGCAGGTGGCACTGTGGGACACGGTGAGTGCCGGGCAGGGACCAGGTTTTGTCCCCCCTGCCCTGTCGTGTGCCTGGCTGGAAGGGCAGGGCCTCAGTTTACCCACCATGCGATGGGGGTTTCTGCTGGTTGGTGTCTAAGTCCCGGTCCCCACTCCTCCAGTGATGGAGGCCTGATGTGGCCCAGCTCATGGTTCTCTCCTGTCCATCTCTACAGAAGCACCTGGAGGAGCCGCTGTCCCTGCAGGAGCTGGACACAAGCAGTGGTGTCCTGCTGCCCTTCTTCGACCCTGACACCAACATTGTCTACCTCTGTGGCAAGGTGGCCCCATTGGGCAGGGGGTCGGGGGAGCGAGGTGGGCAGGGGGACTTAGAAAGGACCACAGCTGGAGGCATCTGCTGGTGCTGACCCTCCCTTGCACCTACCACCTGCAGGGGGACAGCTCTATCCGGTACTTCGAGATCACCTCCGAGGCCCCGTTCCTGCACTATCTCTCCATGTTCAGTTCCAAGGAGTCCCAGCGTGGAATGGGCTACATGCCCAAACGTGGTCTGGAGGTGAACAAGTGTGAGATTGCCAGGTGACTGCCCCTGCCCCTGACCTGAGCGCGCCCCTTGGGCAGCACTGACCCCACGCTGACCTTGAGTCCCAGCCACGCTGTGGGCACTGCTCACCTTCCCGTTTCCACAGATTCTACAAGCTGCATGAGCGGAAGTGTGAACCCATTGCCATGACGGTGCCTAGAAAGGTGATGCTCCCGGGTCCCTCCTCAGGTGCTCGGAGTGGCCGGGTGGTGGTGTGGCCTGAGCTTTCTCTTAACCAGTCCTGGCCTCGCCCCACAGTCAGACCTGTTCCAGGAAGACCTATACCCACCCACCGCAGGGCCCGACGCTGCCCTCACGGCTGAGGAGTGGCTGGGGGGCCGGGATGCTGGGCCCCTCCTCATCTCCCTCAAGGACGGCTACGTGCCCCCGAAGAGCCGGGAGCTGAGGGTCAACCGGGGCCTGGACACTGCACGCAAGAGGACGGCACCTGAGGCCACTGGTGCTCCCAGCTCGGTGAGAGGCAGATGGGAGCCCGGGAACCAGGGCAGGAAGGTGGGGTGGGGCAGGAGCTGCTAATGATGTGGTCACTGACTCAGTGGAAAGAGGCTGGCGTTTGGGGGCAGGCCACACACACAATATTGGGGCTCCTTTGGGGGCTGGGAGTGGATAATCCTGTCCAGGCTTAAAGGCCTGCAGTTCTCTGGATGAGAGACAGAGGGGCCCAAGCTCTGGGGGCTCATGGGAGGAGGCCTAGTGGCCTAGGAGGGCCTGGGGCTAATGCTGCCTGGGGTCCCCCAGGATGCCATATCCCGGCTGGAGGAGGAGATGAGGAAGCTCCAGGCCACGGTGCAGGAGCTGCAGAAGCGCTTGGATAGACTGGAGGAGACAGTCCAGGCCAAGTAGAGGACCATCGGCCGGGGCCGACGGCATCGCCTCCCTCCCTTCCATTCCCACTCCTCAGGCCACAATGGCAGATAAGAAAATAATAATAAAATGGCTTTATTTTCTGGTACCTCGCAAACTCTGATGACTAGTCGAGGGGATGCTGGGTTTGCTGAACTGACCTGTCCTTGTGCTTCCCCCTCCGTAGCTGTGATGAGCCTGACCTATGGCAGGGGCTGGACAGATGCCTCTAGATGACCCTAGACCAGTGGTCCCTGAGCTTTTTGGCACCAGGGACTGGTTTCATGGAAGACAGTTTCTCCACACATCAGGGAGGTGGGGGTGGGCTGGGGGATGGTTTAGGCATGATTCAAGTGCATTCCATTTAGTGTGCACTTTATTTCTATCAGCTCCATCCCAGATCATCAGGCATTAGATCCCGGGGCCTGGGAACCCCCACCCTCCACAGATAGGAACAGGCCTTTGTGGGGCAGCGGGGAGCCACCCTGTGCTGATATGGGTGCCCTGTTTTCCAGCTGGTAGGTCTGAGCTGCTCAGGGCTCTAGTCTGGATGGAGCCTTGGTCATTCTCATTACTCCCCAATCTGCCTTTGCTAGTCAACCACATCAACTGTCCTGACCCTGCTGCTTGTGGGGGAAATGAAGCAACCAGCGCTTACATGACAGCTGTTAAGCTGTAGGACCAAGGGATCAATATTAGGGGTTCCTTGTGGGGAGGAAGCTGAGAACCAAAATAGTGGGCCCAACCTTGGTTTACAAGTGAGGAAACTGAGGGGCAAGGCAGGAGCGGCAGATCCTGAGTTATGACGCAGGCTTCCCATCCAGTTCAGAGCCTTTCCTGCACCGTGCGGCTGCCGCTTGAGCCTTGTCAGTGGCTTCTGCCTAGGCCTGGCCTCTATAAGAGGGACCTGTATTGGCAGGGAGTGGGCAGGGGGTTGGAAGTAGGTTTTTGATGGCCAACTTAGCAGGTGACCCCCTGAGCTGGGACACGGCTATTGAGGATGGGTGTCCTGGCCACAGCAGGCCTTTGTGCATCCGTGCAGGGACCAGCAAGGAGGAAATGTCCCATGTGAACCCCTGCTCCCCTTGGGCTTGCCGTACAAATGTCCCTGTCTGCCCACTTGGGCCTCAATCTCTCTGTAAGCCATGTGACCCTGGGCAAGTCCCTTCTCTCCAGGTCTCCGTTGCTCATCTATAGACAGGGAAGAGATTCTGCCACAGCTGTGAACACGGCGGGGTGGATCCAATCAGGGGTGTGGCCTAGAGAGAAGCAGACCATCTGGAGCTGGAGCCTGAGCCTAACCCCCCACCCCCACCCCACCAACACACACACACACACAATGTGATGTTGGGCTCTCCCAGTGAAGCAGACGTGTGAGTAGTTGCTAGTTCTCCTGGCCCAGGGAAACTGAAAAAAAAAGTTCAGGAAAGGATCCCTGGAACTCAGAAAGGTTAACCTCTACTCCTCATGACTCCTAGCTCCCTCTGATAGAAACAAAAGAGGGAGGTGGGGGGTCGGGGTGTGTGACAGTAATTTAGGGGCCAAGAAACTGGCCTTGAAAACAGAGGAACAGGGTGGGTGGGACAGTTGAAACCCACAATTTCTCTCCCCCAAAGAGGCCTGGCCCCAATTAGGACACTTGCTATTTCTCCTGGGTCTTGGAGACCTTGTCTGTGTAAGGCCTAGGCAACCCTGTCACCCGTGTTGACACCAGGGCATCACCTGCCCCAATTGTGTGGCTCTGGTGACCTTATTTGCCTGCTGTAACCCTACCCCTATGCCCAGCCCACCTCTCCATTCCAGAAAAACCTCACCGCGGGGGACAGCTGTGGCCACATCAAGCCCAGGACCAAAGGGTCACTGGACTTTCTCCAGGGGCCAGAAAAAAAACAGCATTCCAGGTGCTGGGAAGGCCCTGTTGGGGGACCAGGTCCCCGAGGTTGTGGAGGACTTGTAGGGGGTGTGTGAAATCCTCTATTATGCTTTGACATTGGGGTGATATACTGAGGAGAGGTTTGCAGTTGCTCCTGAAACCTTGAGCACTTTCTCATCTGTGCATTTTGAAAGAGGACTGAACAGAATGCCCAGAAATGGTCAAAGAATGGGGGGTTGGGTGAGTATTGGAAGTACCCCAAGGAGTCCACCAAGGCCCACCCCGGAAGGGACTTTAAAGACAGACGATTCACTTATAAGTGGGGACACAGAGGCCTATGTGAGGAGAGGGACTTGTCCAAAGTAAAACAATGGAGAGTGGAGGGCAGGAAGAAGCCAGGCCCTAGACCCAGCCTCTGCACACTTCCCATACACACAACACACTGACACGGAAGCTGGCCCTGATTCATAATTTAATGGGTGTGCAGGTCTGCGTCCCTTATTTCTGCTGCTCACGGGCCCACTGCTCTGGGGTCAGGGTTTTCTGCTCAAAAGCGTGAATGTGCAGGAGCTCTTCTGCTAGGCAAGTGTTCACAAGCCTGGGAGAAAGATGGGGTTAGAAATGGGCAGGCTGCGGCCTGACTCGCAGTCTCCGAACCTAGGGTCTAACGGGAGACTGGAGGGGTCCCCCAGGTTGTAGTCCCCGGGACCTGGAAACAAGAGAGGTAGAGGGCTTAAGTCTGAATATTTGATGCTGGGGCCACGAAGGCGGGATCCCTGGGGTGGTGGTCTGTGGTGGGGGCCGCATGGATGGGAGTGAGAGTTAAGGTTTCGGGAGGCGGCCCGGGATGTGGTCCCAGAGCTGTGGCCGCGCTGAAGAAGGTGTTCCCGGAATCTCACCGGTGTCTCTGAAGCAGCGGTTTCCCCTCGAACTTGGCCGACACCACAAGGACTCGGAAGCTGGACGCGCAACGGTTGGGAGTCGTGTCCTCTACTTCCTATGGGGCAGAATGGTGTGGATGGTGCAAGTCCGCCCCCGGAAGCCCTGTTCCCCTCGTTGGGCGAGCCCAGGCCGCTCAACTCACCACGTGCTCCGCTTCCAGGTCCCGCTGCAGCTTCTCCCGGAGGTACTCGGCACTGAGTTCCATTGTGGCAGCCCAGCGAGGGCGGCAGCCCAGCGGGGATGGAACCCCACCACTGACCCCAGCCACACTGCTTCCGCCCTTACTGGCGCCACTTCCGCTGAGGCATCTACTTCCGCCCTTACTAAGACGTCCGTAAACTCAGCATTTCCGCCCTGTCCCAAGCCCAGTTTTCCAACTGCCTTCGGTTTCCGCCTCTGTCCGAGTCTGCATGAGGCTGCAGCGGACTCTAATCGGTACCCGCTGCCTGTACAGCAACCCGGGTTCTGTGCGCCGGTTTGGACACCCTAGCTCCAAATAGGAGAGGGCGCACGAGTTTGCATTGCTGTGACTTCTAGGGTACCTCGGGATCGTTCCCAAGCGCTTTTTCTAAGACAAGCATCTTGCGGCCCTGGCAGCCCAGCCCTCCCCGGGTCACAGGCCACAATAATCAACCCCCAAATTGGCGATGGGCCCCGCAGGGGGCGCGGCGAGGTCCGGACGCTTCTTCGGCGTCTACCTGCTTTACTGTCTGAACCCTCGGCACCGGGGCCGCGTCTACGTGGGGTTCACCGTCAATCCTGCTCGTCGGGTGCAGCAGCACAACGGGGGCCGCAAAAAAGGCGGGGCCTGGCGGACCAGTGGGCGCGGGCCCTGGTAAGAGAAGGCGGGTCATGGTCTGGAGGAGGAGGGCTTCCAGGAGAAGGCGGGGCCGGCGAGGGTGAGGCCGGCTGAGAGGGGCGGAGCCAGGCCTGTGGCAGTGGGCGGGGCCCTCGAGGGGGCAGGGCCGGGGGCGGGAGTAACGGGGGTGGGCCTATCGCCGCGGAGGAGGAGCCCTGTGTGGGCCTGGGTCTCAGAGGACGGGGTTGGGTGGGAAGGGGACTTATCTAGGTTTGGTCAGTGACAGGGAGTTTGGTGAACAAGACTGGGTTGGAATAGAGAAAGCTTGGAAGGGAGAGGAACTGAGGAGGGCTGTTAAGCGCCTGTGACTACAGGCGGGGCCTGCGGTTAGCAGATGCGAGGGGCTGGCTTATACCTCCACGAAGGGAGCAGGGCCTCGTGGGCTAGGCGTGAAGCCGATGTGACCCCTCTCTCCGGTAGGCCAGGGGATTCTGTTTGACATGGGGTGGGGCGGGGGGCTCACGGGTCGCGCGCCCTCCTTCTCTTTCCTAGGGAGATGGTGCTCATCGTACACGGCTTCCCCTCTGCAGTGGCTGCTCTTAGGGTAAAAAGGAGTTAGGGGCAGCGGGAGGACCAGGGCTAGGGCTCGGGGCCCTCCCCGAGCAGCCCCCTTCCCCGGGGCTCCCCCTTCCCCCCCGCGGACCCCTTCCTCGGCTGGTCCTGAAGCCCTGTACCCCCTCGCCTGCAGTTCGAGTGGGCCTGGCAGCACCCACAGGCCTCGCGCCGCTTGACGCACGTGGGTCGGCGCCTCCGCGGAGAGGCCACCTTCGCTTTTCACCTGCGCGTCCTGGCTCACATGCTGCGCGCGCCGCCCTGGGCGCGCCTCCCGCTCACCCTGCGCTGGCTGCGCGCTGACTTCCGCCAGGACCTCTGCCCACCGCCGCCACCTCACATGCCACTGGCCTTCGGGCCTCCACCGCCCCGGGCCCCAGCCCCGAGGAGCCAGGCAGGTCCTTCCGACGACACGGGATGCGAGCTGGAGCGAGAAGTCGACGCCCGCTGCACCCTCTGCGCACGCACGCTCCAGGTAAGACGGGTCAGGGCAGTCTACGTAGGGTTCAGAGGACTTAGGATCAAGGGTCTGGACCGTCCACTGACACCCTTTGGCCACTCTACCCCCATCTCTACCCATTTATTATTGTCTTTTTTTTTTTTTCGCTTTCGTCTGCTCTCGGTCTTCTTTTCTGTCCATGGGCTTTCTCTAGTTGCTCAGAGCGGGGGCTACTCTCTACTTGCCGCCCGGGCTTCTCATTGCCATGGTTTCTCTTGTGGAGCACAAACTCGAGCTCCCCAGGCGTGTGGGATTTTCCAGATGAGGGATCGAACCTGTGTCCCCTGCACTGGCAGGCGAGTTCTTAACTACTGGACCACCAGGGAAGTCCTGCTCTCGTCTCTGCAGTGGGAATAGTGCTTGTGGCTATTCCTCAACGCCAGGGCCTCCTCCGGGCCTTTGCCCTTCCCCTTGGACTGAAAGATTCTTCCCTAGACCCTCTATCTTTTTTTTTTTTTTTAATTAATTTATTTATTTATTTTTTTATCACAACCATAGTGTATCTTTTTTTTTTTTTACATGTATTCCCCATCCCGGTCCCCCCTCCCACCTCCCTCTCCACCCAATCCCTCTGGGTCTTCCCAGTGCACCAGGCCCGAGCACTTTAGACCCTCTATCTTAAGAAAATGCCTCCTCTCCTCTGGTCAGCTCTTCCTTGCCTCTCCATCTAAAATTGCCTCTCTTTCTTGTACATCCCCCTGGCTTCCTTTAACGCCTGTTATTGTCTGACATATTGTATATTTTATTTACCTTATTATCAGTCTTTCCCACCCTCACCCCCATATTAAACTCTGCAGGGGCATTTAGTTCCTTTTCACTACGGTAGGACAGGGTCTGGTGCAGAGCAAGTGGCCAATAAATTAACTGAGATGATGTGTCTGCCTTCTGCTGAGCTCTCAGTAAGTGTAAGCTGAGTTCTTGCCATTCAGGGATTAAGTGACCTGTCTGAAATCTCTCAACCTGTAAGGGACTCTAGGTCTGGCTGCCCTAGCCATACTGTTAGATAATCACTGCTCCCACTCAGAGAAAACTGGCCAGCTTAGTCCCTGTGGACCAGTATTTTAGCCTCTCGGTGCCTCAGTTTCCTTATCTATGTGCTGTGTTTAGTCGCTCAGCATGTCAGACTCTTTGCAACCCTATGGACTGTAGCCCGCCAGGCTCCTCCATCCATGGGGATTCTCCAGGCAAGAATACTGGAGTGGGCTGCCATGTCCTCCTCCAGGGGATCTTCCCAACCCAAGGATCAAACCCAGGTCTCCCTCGTTGCAGGTGGATTCTTTACCGTAAATGCAAATAATAGTAGCACATGCCTCATAAAGTTGTTTATGTAAAGCCCTTGGAACAGCGTGTGGTCCATAGAAACTCTTCACCATTGTTAGCTACATGATTACTCCCCGTTTTCTCTCTTACCTGCCTGCCACCTCTGACAGGATGAAGAGAGCCCCCTGTGTTGCCCGCACCCTGGCTGCTCCCTAAGGGCCCATGTGATCTGCCTGGCAGAGGAGTTCCTGCAGGAGGAACCAGGGCAGCTTCTGCCTCTAGAGGGCGCATGTCCTGGGTAAGTCCCACATCCCTGCTCCAGCCTGGTTTAACTCCAGGAAGGCGGGAAGGGGGTGCCCAGTTGTCCAAGTCCAGGCCTGGGGTAGCCAAGCCCTTCTCTTGGCACCCAGGTCCTGGCCTGGAGGATGCTTGTGATCCTGACTCTGTTTCCTATCAACCATACCCCCTGGTAGCTGTAAGAACTCACTGCTGTGGGGAGACCTGATCTGGCTCTGCCGGATGGGCACCGAGGAGGAGGAGGAGGACTCGGAATTAGAAGAGGTGAGAGGTGCTTGGGCCCCAGCCTCTCTGCTCCACCCTGTCTCCTGGGCTGCCTTTCACCAACTCTCTTGTCTCCACAGGAGCACTGGACCGACATGCTTGAGACCTGATTCTCAGCATCCTCAGCCTCCACCCACTCCTTTTCTTTGCCACCCTGTGGCTCTGGCCAGTTTTTACTTGAAGACAATAAAAAGTCTGAGTTCAGGGTACCTGCTGGTGTTTGCCGGGGGTGGGGAGCATGGGTAGGAGGCAGAGACCCTGCTGGTAACTGGGGCCTGAAGAGGACAGGGGAGCGGGGAGGGGCTGCTGGCCGCAGCATGGACCAGCCTCTGAAGTCACACTGTCCTCTGAGGGCTTAGGAGACTCACACCCTGAACGCAGAGCCCACTCAGCTCCAGTGCCCAGCTTGACTCTGGTGCTGCTGGTGGTCTAGTCACTAAGTCGTGTCTGACTCTTGCAACCCCATGGACTGTAGACCACCAGGCTCCTCTGATCATCACTTTTCCCAGGCAAGAATACTGGAGTGGGTTGCCATTTCCTTCTCCAGGGGATCTTCCCGACCCAGGGATTGAACCTGGTTCTCCTGCATTGCAGGTGGGTTCTTTACTGTCTGAGCCAGCAGAGAAGACTCTGTACTTTAATCCAAATAGTAAGAACAAAGGCCAAGGAGGAGAGGAGGGTGCTCTCCCCCAACGGGGTCCTGTGACTCTCGAAACCCCAACTCCTTGTCTCTGTCTGCGGAACCTCGTTCAAACCCAGAGAAAGAAAAGCACCTTCTAGGGGCTGTTGTTTTACCAACCATAAATGAGGCTCCATGCTGTCCCCGGAGCTCCCTCCATGGGAGTCGTGGAGCAGGGGCACACTCCGGGCTTATTTGACGCAAGCATTCTGGCTCTTTCCTATCCTATGCTGCCTCAAAAAGAGCCTGCCTTGCCCGGCTCCACCCCAAACCCCATCACCCTGCCCACGTACATCCCTCTGGACTCGCCCTGTGGTCAGAGCCAGAAGTTCCTGGAATGTTCAGGCTGCTGGGGGCCTGCGGGCTGCCTTCCACCTGAACCCTTGGCATCTTCAAACCTGGCCTGGAGCCGGCAGAACGGTGAGTGTCCCCACATTTCCCCTCCTCTCCCCTGCGCTTTCTAGACCAGGCACGTTAGAAAAAGCTGTCTCTTGGCCCTCTCGACAGAGGTGGAGTCTAGAGGGCAGGTCAGGAGCCAGGATTCCAGCTCAAAACACCAAAAAAATCCCCAAAACTATTGCACCCTTGTGTCTAGTTTCAGCCTTCTGTTTTCTTTTCTTTTTTTTTTCCTTTTCCATTTATTTTTATTAGTTGGAGGCTAATTACTTTACAGCATTGCAGTGGTTTTTGTCATACATTGAAATGAATTAGCCATGGATTTACATGTATTCCCCATCCCGGTCCCAGCCTTCTGTTTTCTACATACTAAACCCACATCTGGAGTTTTCAGGCCAGGCTGAGCTGGGTTCCAGCTGAGGACGGTAGCACAGAGGGTACTCCCACCCCAAACTTCACCCTTTCCTTCCTGGAGGACAGCCAAGTCCCAGTGCTGGCGCCAGGCCCCTCCCACTTGAGAATTACAAAGCTTGCAGCTCAGAGAGCGGTCCTGCACTCACCACCCCGCGCCCGTTCTCAGCCCCACGCAGACACAGACAGGGTCACAAGGCCAAGATCCAGAGAGATCAGGTGAGAGCGAGGTTGGGGGGTGACAGGGCTGGATCCCACTCACCTCTCGCTGCTGCTGGCTCTGACTCCGATCCTATCACTTAATCTCTCTGCTCCCACTTCTCACGTCCAGCCCTTTCCCAAAGGAGTGCTCATCTCGGTCTCCAGCCTGGCTTGAATCCCCCTCCTCCTCTTCCTCCTTCGCCCTTCCTCTTCTCCACTGAGTCATCAGTTCTCATTCACCTGCAAGACTCTGACCCCCTAAACAGTTGCTCAATTGGCTGTGTTTTTCTCCAAGTGGGGGAGGCAAATGGGGGAGGCTGGTTAGGCAAGCTGGATCTCAGGCCCAATCTGGAGAGGCTGGTTGGACAAGCTGGATCTCAGGCTCAACTGGCCTTTGGGAGTTTTCCATATGTGAGGGCCCAGGGGAGCTCAAGGGGGAAACTCAAGCTCAAGAGGAGCCCACCAGGATTAGGCCTATAGCAGAAGGGAGAAGACAAGCAAGCTGGGGGCTGGCCAGAAGTTCAGACAGGCAGGCCCTAGAGGTTTTCTCAAGTGCACACTGAAATCCCCTGGAGAGCTTCCAAAAAACTGCTATCAGGGTCCCATCCCCAGAGAGTGATTTAATTGATTTAAAAGCTCTGCAGGCAAATGAAAATGCAGCCTGAGTTGTGACCCACTGCAGGAACACAAGATCTAGCTTTGAATCCCAGCCCCACCACTCTTGTGAGCTAGCTCTGTGAGCACGGCCAAGTGGCTCAGGCTCCCTCAGCCTTGGGTTCTTTACTTCAAAGCAAGAATTCAACAGCTGGCACCACTGACATATTGTTCAAGGAAGGAGGCCGCACCCCGGCGCCCCTGAGGAGACAGCATGGAACTGATCCAGGACACCTCCCGCCCACCAGCAAAGTATGTGAAGGGCATCCCTCTCATCAAGTATTTTGCAGAGGCACTGGGGCCACTGCAGAGCTTCGCAGCCTGGCCTGATGACTTGCTCATCAGCACCTATCCCAAGTCGGGTAAGTGATGGGGATACCCAGGCCTCCTTTGGGCTGCAGTCCCCACCTTGGGCCGGGAGGGGCATGGCCTCAGCCCTGCTCATCCCCCATCCATTCCCACCTGCCAGGCACCACCTGGGTGAGCGAGATCCTGGACCTGATCTACCAGGATGGCGACCTGGAGAAGTGTCAGAGAGCCCCCATCTTCATGCGGGTGCCCTTCCTTGAGTTCAAGGTCCCTGGGGTTCCCACAGGTGTGTGGTGGGGTGTTGGCAGCAAGTAGAGTGGAGGGAGGTTTGACTGGGGCTCCAGCTCACGGATCTTGCCCTACCTATGGCTTAGGTGTTGAGCTTCTGGAAGATACACCGGCCCCACGGCTGCTCAAGACACACTTGCCCCTGGCTCTGCTTCCGAAGACCCTGCTGGATCAGAAAGTCAAGGTGAATGGCAGAGGGAGCCAGAGAAGGAGGCTGCTAGGGCCATCCCAGCTTTGGCCCTGCCTTCTGGGAAGGTCTCACTCCCCACAGCCTGGCCTCATCTTAAGAATGACGGGGTTAGGGGCATCTGCCTGATGCTCTAGTGGGGTCAGGTATCTGGTGAAAATGAGACTCCTCTGTGCAGTGTGGGTGCTCACAGGCCTGTGGAGGGGCTGGTGGGAACCCAGCATGCCTTGTTCCAAATCCAGACAGAGTGGCGTTGAGGGGATTGGCTTAGTATAAAATAACAGTTTCAGGAGCCAGCCCAGAGTTCAGCATCAGAGCAGAGTTCAGGTCCCAGCTGGATCTTGCCTGCACCCCAGGACTGCAGGCGAGTCAGCCTTTAGACCTGTTTCTCCTTTGGCCAAACTGAGAGAGCTTCCCTGGCAAGGAGGCCATAGAGGGCGGGATGCCTGGTACCTGGTGTGCCATGTGGTGACGGCGCTGGGCTTGGGGATCACCTGCCCCTCCAGGTGATCTACATCGCCCGCAATGCCAAGGATGTGGCCGTCTCCTATTACCACTTCTACCGCATGGCCAAGGTGCACCCTGACCCTGGCACCTGGGACAGCTTCCTGGAGAAGTTCATGGCCGGGGAAGGTGAGGCTGACGCTGGAGGAGGGAGGGGGTGGGGTGGAGCCAAGGGGCACCAGCTAACGTTTATGCCAACCTCTGTGTCCCGGCCACCTGCCCTCTTCCCCAGTGTGCTATGGGTCCTGGTACCGGCATGTGCGGGAGTGGTGGGAGCTGAGTCACACCCACCCTGTTCTCTACCTCTTCTACGAGGACATAAAGGAGGTGAGACCACGGCTTCCAGTTCCCTCCACGTCACTTAGGAAGGCAGGAACCTCACACGGCCCTGCTGGGGCCCACTCAGCACCGTCCCCTATGGCAGCCCTCAGGCCAGCCCTCCCGGATCCCCTGCCCAGGACTGGAGTAGGAGCGTGCCCTCCACGGCAGCACCCTGTTCAGCCCTTTACCTCCTAACGCCCGAGTCAGCAACACGTGCAGACATTCGTCTGCTCTGTACTGCCAGTGCTTCTCCGGGACCACCATTATGAAAGGGGACTGTCCCTCCTCTCAGCCAAAAGGAACCAGACCTCTGTGATAAAGGATCCCAGGGTAGAAGGCAGTCACACCTGCCCCTGGGAAAGAGGACCAGAGTCAAGGAACAGGGCCTGAGGTCTCTAGGCAGAAGTGGCCAGATCCGCCCCCAGGGTTAGAAAGGCGCCTCCCTTTTCTGCTCAGCAAGTAATCCAAACCTCCACTGAAGAGCCTCTCCACTGCTCCAGGACCCCAAAAGGGAGATCCAGAAGATCCTGGAGTTTGTGGGGCGCTCCCTGCCGGAGGAGACTGTGGATCATATCGTCCAGCACACATCTTTCAAAGAGATGAAGAAGAACCCCATGACCAACTACAGCACCATACCCAATGAAATCATGGACCACAACATCTCTGCCTTCCTGAGGAAAGGTGAGAGCCACCCCAGGGGGTGGGCATGGGCATTTGGGGAGAGGGGGAGCCGCAAATGGGACTGCCCTTTGGCCATTCGGGGCTACCTCTGCGGCCGGGACCTCCTTCCTGCCATCTTTCCCCAGGCATCACTGGCGATTGGAAATCCACCTTCACTGTGGCCCAGAATGAGCGCTTTGAAGCCCATTATGCTGAGAAGATGGCGGGCTGCAAGCTCCGCTTCCGCTGGGAGCTGTGAGTGGTCCTCTGGAGGGGTGTGAAACAAGCCCAGTCATGGCTTCAGAAATAAAATCTGATGTGTGTTAAACAAAGAGCCTCTGTTGGAAGCAAAGAACCAACCTGAGCTAGAAGGGTGGATGCCCACTGGGACCCAATGAGGCCATCTCCCCTGGTGGCCTCCAGCTCGCCCTAGTGGGGAGTAAGACAAGGGTCTGGAAAAGCAAAACCTAGGAGACATGGACAAGGAGGAAGAATATTTATTTGATCACAAAATCTTGTGCATCCCCCGTAGAGGGTGTCAGCTGATTCCGAGTCTGCTAGGCCACTTCACTTTTTCTTGGGCTCCTTACAAGCCACCACGTACCGCTGGGCTACATTGAGGGGAGGGGAGTAACCGTCTGCATAGGAGGTGTCTTCAAACAGGACAGAATAGTCATCCTGGGGCTGCAGCAGAGGCAGACAGGAGGGGCTGGTCAGAGGGCTCCAGGTGAAACCCCCGCCCCACACCACTAAGCTTTGAGTGACAGGAACCTCTGGCTCGTGGCCCCCAGAAGCTCCTGTCCTCGTATTCACTCAAGAAGTGGAGATGTGTGAACGCAGTCCCTGTTACTACAGAACTCCTTCCTCAGCAGCAAAGGGCCAAGGGTAAGGGATGAAGATCAAGGAGACCACCACCTACATAAGTGGGCCGTAACTGGAGGGTGTGGTACCAGGGAGCCTGGGTAAAAGGGATCAAGGACAACCTAGAGGGCAACAGCAAGGATCCTGGAGGAAGAAGCAAGAATAGCCTTTAAACTGGCATCAGGTGACCAGGGCATCGGCAATGTGGTCAAGAGCACGAGGGAAAGCGGTTCAGCTGAGGAAAAGGCAGTGGGGCTAGAGTTAAGGGCTCCAAGACAGGCCCTGGGCATGGAGCTTCCCAACTCAATGCAAAGGTGAGGTTAGACTAGTGTACGCATCACGTCCATTCGGCTCAGGGCTTGCTAAGGCTCTGAAGCTTGGGAAGAGGAGGGTGGGCCGGTGCTGCCCCAGAGGGCAGGGCTGGAGGGCAGACTAAGCAGAAGACAGAGGGCAACTTGCAGGGCCCTCCGAGCTCAGAGAGGCTGTGAGATGAGGACAAGAGGGGAAGGAGGTGGGAAGGTGACGCCAGGAGCCATCTGGCCACCTGGCCCTAACAGGGACGGCCTCTCCTGTGGGGGCTGCCTTACCCGTTGTGGGGGCGTGTGGATCAGGGCGCGGTAGAAGCAGGTGGTCTGGGGATACAGGGCCAGCACAAGCTGCTCCTTCTGGAATAAAGCTTCAGGGTCCGTCTCCGGGTTGGCCTTCCACTGGGGCAGTGGGATGATCCGCCGGCGGCTCAGGGTGTGTCTCCTGGGGGTGGGGCTGAGGTAAGGTGGGGGCCCCATCCCCACAGCTTGGCCGCCCCCAGGCTTCCACAGCCCCCCTCCCCACCAGCACACTCACTCTTTGCCTTCTTCGTCAATGTCGTCTACCTCGTACCTGCGGGCGGACAAAAGGAAAGGGCTGGATGCAGAAAGGGTCAGGATCACAGTCCAAGTCGGGGAGTCGTGAGGAAGGGGGAGGAGGGCAGGGAGGGGAAGCAGCCCCCGGGTCCCCAGAGATACCCAGGGGTGTAGCTGTCCTCCCAGCCTGCAGATGCATGACAGTGTAGGCCACGCGGCTGTGGTGACGGGAGAGCAGCCCATAGGGCCGGGGGACCGCTCACTTGTTGGTGGCGTGGCTGTAACTGACCACCTCGGCCAGGATCCACTGCTCATCCCCGTCCACGGCCTTCACCCGGGCGGCCACCTTGTCTCCAGGTTTGGCCACGTAGTCCCCAGAAGCCGGAATGGCCCCGCAGAGGGGCGGGGGTCTGAGGACAGAATTAAAATGTTCAGTCCCAGCCCCCACCTTGCCAGCCCCTACCCTACCCGGGGCCCGCCCTCACTTGTCACCAGGCTTCCCGATCCACAGGGGCAGGGTCATGGCTGACTGCTGCAGCAGGGTCATGAGCACCCCCCTGCGCATGGTCTTCCGAGGAGGCTCCGAGTCATTGTACAGGCCTGCGATCTTGGCCGCTGTGGGAAAGAGAGAAGTGAGCCCTCAAGACATCAGAGATAGGGCGCCCACCCCAGCCCGCCCACATTGGGCCATCAGAGCTCAGCCTGCAGCACCCTGGCCTGAGTACCAAGGGGCTGCACGCCATCCTGCCCCTTCCTCAAGATGCCTGCAGTGAGACCACCCAGACTGACAGATGAAGAGCTGCCGGGAGGGCAGATACCCTAAGGGGAAGGAGCAGGAAAGGGCAGAAGCGGGGCTGTGGGGCAGTGGTCATGTTCTAGTTATTGATCTGGGTACCAGGAACATTTTGTTCAGTTAGTGAAAAGTTTCAGCTAGCTGTGTATTCACATCTGTGTTCCTTCCTATTAACATGTAGTTCAACAACAAATTTTTAAAGACAAATGTGGACAGACCCCTGATCTCCTCAGGCATGGTTTAACACACCCAGCCACCTCATACAAACCCAGCTGGCGGTGTGACAGTTTTTGATGGGTGAGGAGGTGTGGACTGTGGGTTCACTGGGGCAAGAGAGTTGGGAAGGCCCCGGCAGCTTGAGGGATCTGGAAGCCAGCGCCTCGTGTCAGTAAACTCCATGCGGAAGGCTGGTTTCAAGACACCCAGGGTGCAGCTCTCAAAACACAGCCAGGTTCTCCTCGGAGCAAGAAATGGGAGAGGGGAGAACTCCCTGGCAGTCCAGTGGTTAGAACTCTGCGCTTTCATGGCTGAGGGTGTGGGTTTAAAAAAGAAAGAAACAAGAGGTGGCAGTAGGAAAGCGGGGGGTAAATGCCCCAGACAGTAGACAGAGCAGGGGAATCAGCGTGGTCCGCAGGGAGCACGGGGGACCATCCCCATTCCCTTCCCAGCCCCGGACAATCCCACTGGACTGAAGTCACAGGCGCCCCCACAGGGAGACTGACTGTCGCTCTCAGGAACCATCATTCCACCGGTGGTCTCTAACTCACCAATCCGCCTCTCTTCCAATAGAGACTTGATTTCTGCAATCTTATCTAGGGCTTTCCGAAGGATGCTGAGGGTGGGGAGAAGGGAGAGAAGAGGTCTGCGTGAAGCATAAAGCACGGACTTCCTTTTCTCATTACGGCAGGCTGGCCAGCTTGGACCAAGCCTGCCGCCGGAAACCATCAACCGTAAGTGTGTACTTTTTATTCTTAAAAGCACAAAAGAACAGATGAGACAGGAGGAAGTAGTGGGACAAACTACCTAACAGGGTTGGTAAGTGGAGGGCTCCCTTTGCCTGAGGGCATTGGGCAAATGCTGCCAAAGGGCTGTGGGGTGCTGGCAGCCTCTAACAATTGAGATTTCGGGGGACAGAAGTTAGAATTCAGGGTCTGCCCTAGTTGCACATGGAAGAGGAGACACTCTGGAGCACTGTGGGGAGTTGTCTCGGCACACAGCAGGGCTGCGGGTGGCACGAACTTGTCCCCAGCCCCTGGAAACCCCTGGAGTTCAATTATGGGGGCTCCAGAGTGGCCAGGACCCAAGAACCTAGCAGAAGTGCACACAAATTCTTGCTGGAAAAAGGCTTCTTCATCCCAGAGTTTGGAGAACCTCCCCCAGAGAATAGTTCAACAGCAATGAGCAGCACTGAATCCACTTCAGGACATTTATTCTCTGGCCCACTCCTCTAGCAAACCTTTAGTAAAAACCCATGTGTTAAGGAAGGCCTTGGTTCAGCATGAGACCCATGAGAACACAGCATAGTAGGGTCACAGAAGGTGTCCCAGAGGGTGTGACTCTTGTGGACTTGTCAGGCAAAGGCCAGAAGACTGGGCAAGGGGCAGCCTTGGCAGAGGGAACTGGGCAAACGGAAGTAGCGAGGGATGAATATCTTGCCACAGGCTCAGAGCATCGGAAGCTCAGCATGGCTGGCATCGGACATGTGGACCACTCGGCCAGAGCCATCATGGGCTTGTGAGCGAGCACTGGGACATAGGGCAACCAGGCAGAGAAGGAAAAGCCAGGAGGCCAAAGGGAACTTTGAAAGTCTGATCACTGCTTTTGGGCCTGTTGGGAGAACATCCTTTTATGTAGTTATGTCCTAAGTTACATTCTGGGAGGTCCTGATGGCGTGGTTCTCAGCCTTAGCTGGAAAGCAGAATGCTCTAGGGAGCTTTTTAAAAAGAATCCTAATTGTTTTAAGGATTCTCAGCAGATGCCAAAACTAGTGTGTGTGGGGGGGGGGGTCTGATGTGAAATGGGCTATGTACATAGTCTCCAAGTATCTAAGATACCTGTCAATTACACAATGGAAAATAGCCCTAATTTGAGGACAAACCTGGAAGAGCCCACCTTTACCAGTGAGAGTTCTACCTTCTAATGTGAAGACGGAGGACATCACTTCCAGAAGCGTAAAACCTGAATCTAATTGTGAGGAAACAGCAGGCAAGCCAACTGAGGGAGATTCTACCCTGGCTTATCATTTTCAGAATGTCAAAGTCACGAAAAGCAGAGACAGCCTGGGAACCATTCCACATTGAGAGAAACTAAAGAGACAGGAGAACTAATCCGCACTATGAAAATATTCTGTTCTTTTGCTATCAAGGTCATCTGAATAAGATCTGTAGCTCAGTGAGTAGTTTTATATCAGCATAATATCATAATTTTGAGAAACGTGCCATGGTTGTTTAAGAATGTCCTTTTGTAAAGCACATGCTGACTGATGTGTTTAGAGGTCCAGAGGCATCAGGCATCATGTCTGCAACACAAAAGGTTCAGAAAAAATTTTTTGACTATACAGAGAACAATAAAAGCAAATGTGGTAAAAATATATTTACGTAAGTCTGAGCATATAAAAAGTTAATACTAATGCATGAATTCCACCCTAGTTAAATCAGAACCTCTGGGTGCAGCCAGACTTGAGAACCAGTGTGTAAATGTACTCCACTGGCAGGAAAGTTTGTGAAATGCTGAGTTAAAGAAATTGTTGCATAACTTGGCATAGCCTTTACCACTTTAATTTGCATTGTGAATTTCCAAGGAAAGGAATGTAACATTGCTGCAGTCCAGGGGGTCCGCAAAGAGTCTGACACAACTTAGCTACCGAACCACAAGAAAGTTACTGAAGATCCACTGGAGGGGTCTAAGGAAAAGATGTTTTAAGATCATTTACTATTTCAAGAGCAGTTTTCTGGAACCGAAGTTTCTGCCGCTCTGAGCCAGAAAGGGCAATGAGGACGACCACCCAGCAAAGACGGGCGTCTGCCTTCCGGCAGGCAGCCTGCCAGCCTGTCCGCGCCCCTCAGAGAAGGGCCTGCTGCCCCTGGGGGAGCGGAGGAAAGGCCTCTTGCTGGCTGATGCTTTGAGGGGTCCTCAGCCAAGAACCCTGAGCCCTAATTTTCCTCCCCAACCATCAGTAAGGGCCTAACCAGCGTGAGCTCTTTAAAGTAATCCAGTACTGCTGCGCACCAGTTCACAGTAATTATCTGATTAGCGTGAACTTTTAAAAAGAAAAGGAGTCAAAAACTTCCTCGCGGGCTTTCTTCTGTCTCGCTGAGATAGCTGGAACTGCGCTTGCAGAGGCAGACAGCAGCTAACAAGCCAAGGGGTGTTGCACAGATGAACTGCCCGGGAGCTGCCCGCCCCTGGCCACCTACAGGAGCGCAGCAGCAGGCTGGCTGCATGGCCTCCCTCAGCCCCAGGCCCAGTGGGAGGGGAAACACGACAGACCCTAGACTCTCGGGCACATGGCTTCTCTGCTCCCAGGAACGGGTCTGTGTCTGTGTGTGGCCTTGTCAGGCCTGAGGAGGGACAACACCTTCCCTCCAACTTCCCGGCGGACGCACCCTGTGATGGATCAAGACGAGAGCCCTCCTCGCAGTCAGCACGGGACGGTGTCCACGCCGCAGGTGCCCACACGCGAGCGGCCAGCTGACCAGACCTCGGCGCCTGGCTCAGACAGACAGTCCAGGTGCTAAGGCGTTCATTCTCTGCTCCAGGCACTTAACGTTCGAGGCTGTGACCACCCAGGTCCTCACAAAGTTAAACTGGACCTCTGTGTGCACTGGCTCAACTACTCATCAAACTACCTTCCTTCGATGGAACTCTGAGCCAGGCTGTTAGTGTCTGTGGCCAAAGAGTCACGGAGGACACCATCCCTGACGCTCTGCCCTCCTGGGGCTGCATCCGGAAAAATGCCTTCTGAATCACTGTCAGAAAATTTCTTGTTCCCAGCAGTCTGGGTGGTAGGGGGAGAATGGATACATGTATATGTATGGTTGAGTCATCCTGCTATGCACTTGAGAGAATCTCAACATCGTCAATTGGCTACACTCCAATACAAAATAAAGTTTTTTAAAAAAAATTTCGAAAAAAGAAAATATCTTGTTCCCCCCGGAAAGGCTACCAGCCTCCACTGGCACATGGAAAGTGACATCTTTGATCTGTCTCCTTTGACTCCTGCCAAAAGAGACGACTGTTAAATGAAGACAGAGTGGGTCCTTTGCGTTTTCTGCAAAAGCAGGGGGAAAGGCTGCGAAGAGCTGTGGGCTCAGATGAAAGGAGAGCAGAGTAGGTGACGGAGCGACACGGGCTCCTGGGGCCTCTGCAGTTTCACGAGAGGTTGACCACAAATATTAGGAAGAGCTGACAGGTACCAGAGCAGCCAGGTCAGTGCCACGTGGGCACGAATACCACCACGTTTTCCCCACCCGGACACAAAGCTCCCTGTGGGCAGGACTGGCATCTTATCTGCCTCACTCGCTCTTCTGTTTCCAGCATGGTATCTGGAGGGGAGGACTCCTTATTTAATATTTAGTGATTGAACCTAAGAAGGTCTGAGAGTCTGAAAAAGTCAAATGGCAGCACAACTGCCAGGGACCTGAACTTCTGAAACAAGCTTTAAGTGTTAAACTCTGGAAAGTTGAGGCCAGAGAAGAGCCCACACCATCTGGCTACAGAAGCTGTCGCCTCACTCTGCCGGCAGTTAATCTGAGAAGGGTATGTCTGTCTTTTACTTTTAAATGAGTGTGAGTCACTCTGACTCATACAAGCCAAACTCCAGGCCCTCTAGTGGGAAAGGGCCCCACAATGAACCTTCCAATCCTTCCAATTGGGAGAAGATGGGGATGGGCAAGGGCAGGTGGGAAGGCCAAGAAAGCAACACCTCCGACCAGAATCCACTGTGTCCCCTCCCCGCCAGTCAGCCCCACCCCTTTGTCTCTGCTCCCCATCCTGACACAGGGGGCCCCAGCAGACCCCTTTGTCTAAGCTAAAACCTTGGAAAGCTTCTCGTCTCCCAACTGGTCCCCAGTTTGATCTCAGAACCTGCCCCGTGTTTCTCCGGCCCCACTGACAAGCCTCAGCTCAACTCCATCCTATCTTATGCCTTATGGTCTCCAAGCTAGACTTGAATCTCACCCAGTCTGTTCTCTGTGTGGCAGCCAGATGTTTCTCTCCTGCTCTTATACCATCTTTGGCTCCCTACTGCCTCCAAGATAAAGTCCGGGTACTGGAGTCCCTCCCCTCCCCCAGCCACACAGGGCTAGTTCTCACTCCCCAAACGCTCGCACCCTACAGAAGCTCCTCACGGCCCTGGCACACTCCGTCTTGTCTGCCTACCCATCCCCAGCTCAAGTTGCTCCTCCTCCCTGAGAGGGTCCCAGATTCCAAGGCCCAGTGAGCACCTCTCTGCCAGCCCACCAACTACACTGTCCTGTAACTTTTTTAGGGCATCTCTCCTTTCTGGATGGCTTGCCCCTGAAGGCAGGCCCCTCACTAACCTTGTGTGTCTCTGTGGAGACTGCCCAGCACCAGGCATCACCATGGGTTATAGTCAAAACAGTTTGAAAAATACAGATATTAGTGACTTTATATGCATCACCACATATTATGTTGACAATTCTATAAGCAGTTATTATCCCTACTTTAATGAGGGAGTAACTGAGTCTCAGCTCAAGAGACCACCCAAGGTCAAGCGGTAGGGAAAAGGCAGCGCTGGGATTTGATCTACGCCCTTCTGCCATTTATACAACAGTGGGGCCGGGGAAGAGGGACGAGAGTGGGCTCTAGAGAAGCTGGGCCCTACAGGAGAGGCTGGGAGTCAGGATCTGCTTAGCCCTGGGAGCGGGGCAGGCTGGGGCCGTGGGCTCCTACAGCCTAGCACCTGGGTGAGGAGGGAGGCAACGGCAAAGCAGAGGGACAGTACTCACTTGCACTCAGCCTCTGCATCGGCTTTGGCAGTCGTATAGAGGCCACGCAGCTTTGTCCGGTAATAGGGAGAGACTGCAGAGTAAACACAGGGAGACAGATGCCTGGGAGTCGTCATCTGTCTCCTGGGTCATCTTGGGTCACCCGGCCCGAGTGAAAACTGTCCTTCAGGCCTAGGCAGCAGTTCATTTTGGATCAGGCAGACACATGCAAAAGTCGCTTTTGAAAATGAGGACAGCCAGTCTTAACTCACACCCACCCCGCTCCTCGCCTTTCTCTCCGGAGCCCAGCTACTCACTCTTGTTCTCGGTCTGCATCCGCTCGTGGGTCTTCTGGATGTTCACTAAGTTGTGTTCACTCCTCGAACGCTCTTCCTACAAGGACAAGGTAGACAGGACATGAGGGGGCCCTTCATGCTGCTGGGATAACTACACTACCGCCCTGGCCAGAGGCCCCATAAACAGGGCCCTCGTTTTGTAAATCCAACTTCCAAATCCCTAAGTTCAAAAGGTTTTTTTCCCCCGCCTAATGCAAAAGCAGTACAAAAGGCATTAAAGTTCAATCACAAGTTATACATTTAATGATGCTCCTTTATCAAAAAAGACAAAGTGATCCACAGATTCAATGCAACCCCTATCGAAATTCCAGCTGACTTCTCTGCAGAAACTGACAAGCTCATCCTCAAATTCATATGGAAATTCAACTGACCCAGAACAGCCAAAACAATCTTGAAAGAGAACTCACATTCCCCAACTTCAGAACTTTCTACAAAGCTGCAGTAGTCGAATGGTGTGACACTGCCATATAAATCAATGGAACAGTATTGAGAGTCTAGAAATTTACACATGTATCTATGATCATTTCATCTGGAGAAGCGGGGGTAGGGAAGGAAGCTGGTACAATTCTTCCCTACATTAGCGATCCTAGGACCAAGGCTGCAAGTGAAGATGCTGGGAGCTAGGGTGATTCCTAAGAAGGAAATTGTAACTTTACCTTTTAACCTTTATGTCAGAATTTCTAAAAACCTGAGCGGGTAGCCATTTGGCAAAATGGAGTTAAGAATGAATGCAGTTATACCACATAGTTGAAACAGCCCACTAATTCAAAAATAACTGAATCATGAACAAACTGTACTAAAACCTGTTCATAAATCTGGTAAACGGGCAGAGCCAATTCTGTTGCAAAGGCATAAGAAACTGCTCTGTAATTCTTACTGATCTGTTCTATAATGAAACCAATTTTACCATGATCACACTTCAGTATGTTATAACACACTAGTACTATCAGTAAGATTTAACTATGTTTTGTTAAGTAAATCATAGGCTAATACTGATATTGATGACCAAATGTATTAGGAGACTGAGTCAAAGTCTTCTGAGAATGAAATGCTGATAAAAGATGACTGGCCTGAGGAGGAACTGGATTTGATTCATCAGCTAATTTTGCTGCTAAACGGTTTCACATTAATCTATCATATGGTACAGAGAGTGGAAGATGAAGGAGGAAATTGGGTAATCAAATTAGGACAAAAATATGAAAGTGCATGTAATGGTTCCATAGAACAGATTTAGTTGTTTCTTTAAGTCTATCTCAACCCTACAAGGATTCCTGCAAAGGTCAGGTGTATTCATCCTGATACTATTATATCAGGTACACCTATATCTGCTATATAAATGCCATGCATGCATGCAAAGTCGCTTCAGTTGTGTCCGACTCTGTGCGACCCTATGGACTGTAGCCTGCCAGGCTCCTCTGTCCATAGGGATTCTCCAGGCAAGAATACTGGAGTGGGTTGCATGCCCTCGTCTATAAATGCTATACTAAACGTAAATGTTCAAATGATTATTTTGCTGTAACAGAGCCTAGGCCAAGGGCTAGAGAGGTGGGTGTGCAGTTAAGATTTAATTCAGCAGGCTAGGGTTTTCAAACGCTGGGCATTTCAAAACAGGGTTGGCCCTTGACCAGCTCTTGGGAAATAACCTCTAAACACACCTGAAATATTTTGCCTGGTAAGAGTGTCTATGTTTACCTGGAACAAGGAGGTGGAGGCATACGGAAAGTGACTGCTATTGAGTACAGGGCTTTTTTGAAAATGTTCTGAAATTGATGACGGTGATGGTTGCACAACACTTTGAATATTGGATTCAAATTGGACTGTACACCTTAAATAGGTGAACTGAATGTGAATATAGCTCAGTATCACAAAATTGCTGCTACTAACCAAAAAGAACCATGAAATCCTGCACGTGACAGAAAATCCAGCAGGCACGGCAGTCATAGCCCACATGCTCCTCCTCTCACCTTCATGACATCATCGTGGTTCCGGCACGTCCAATCTCTTTGAACACAACCATCCCCGCCCCCTCCACAGTTCAGTATCACAGCCCACGACCCCCTCTAGGAGTGGAGGGCTGTGGCTTTTCACCTGGGTTTGCTTGATGAGCTGATGGAGCTCTGTGAGCAGTTCTGCAATTCGGGAATCAGCAGACACAAGGGCCATGGTATAGAGGGGCGCCTGCGGGGAGGGGAGGAAAAGAACTTATCAGTGGCTATTGTGGGTTTAACCATTCTTCTGGCTAGGACGCTGCAGTCCTAACCTCTGGTACGTGAGTGTGACCTTATGTGCATGTTAAGATGAGATCATACTGGAACAGGGCAGGCCTTAACCCAACACGGAGGCTTCCCTGGTGCCTTATGCAGCTTCCCCCGCGACACAGTGGTAAAGAATCTACCTGCCCAGGCAGGAGACATAGAGATGTGGGTTCAATCCCCGTGTCGGGAAAATCCCCTGGAGTAGGAAATGGCAACGTGCTCCAACTTCCTTGCCTGGAAAATTCCATGGACAGAGAAGCCTGGTGGGCTACAGTCTATGGGGCCACAAAGAGTCAGACATGACTGTGTACACACATACACACATATAATCCAATATGTCTTGTGTTCATGTAAGAGAAGAAACAGACACACACACAGAGAATGCCAAGTGGAGAGACAGACATATACAGGGGGAAGACAGCCATCTGACAGGCAGAGACTGGAGTCAGGCAGCTGCAAGCTAAGGAGTGCCAAGGATTGCTGGCAACCACTAGAAACTTGGAGAGAGATATGGAACATATTCTCCTTCTGAGCCCCTAAGGACCCTACCCTTGATTCTGCGACTAACAGAACTGCTTGAGTTTGGAATTCTAGCCTTCAGATCTGTGAAAGAATACATTCCTTTTGTTTGTAGTCACCCAGTTTATGGTCATTTGTTTACAGGAGCCCGAGGAAATACAGTGGCAAGTGGTCCTGGAATTCTTCCCCAGTCCAGTGATGCTTGGATTCAGTATGTGCAAACAAGTCAGGAGTACTTAGTAAGTACCTTCCAAAAGCAGCACGCCATAGCCCCAGCTCTTGGATTCAAGTATTCTGGTTTATCCTCCTCCCGCCTTTTTTTTTTTTTTTTTTTAATTTTGCTCCCTTGATAGCTCAGTTGGTAAAGAATCCACTTGCAATACAGGAGACCCTGGTTCGATTCCTGGGTCGGGAAGATCCGTTGGAGAAGGGATAGGCTACCCACTCCAGTATTCTTGGGCTTCCCTTGTGGCTTAACTGGTAAAGAATCCACCTGCAATGTGGGAGACCTGGGTTTGATTCCTGGATTGGGAAGATCCCCTAGAGAAGAGAAAGGCTACCCATTCCAGTATTCTGACGTGGAGAATTCCATGGACTGTATAGTGCATGGGGTCACAAAGAGTCAGATACAAATGAGCGACTGTCACTTTGCCCCCTTTTTTTAAATCTGTAAAATAAAGACTCAAATAAGACCTTATATGAAGACACTTTCCAAATCATAAAGCACTGTTACTTTTTTTTTTTTACTGTAGAGGGAAGAGAAATTAACTACTAAAAGTATCTGATTTAAGGTAAGATAAATGTATTCTGATGAAAATGCAGCAGTAGATAATCAGGATAAAAGACAATAATAGGCTATTTTAAAAGTAAGCTACTGTTTTGCCAAGATACAACCTAAATGTCCATCAACAGATGAATGGATAAAGAAGATGTGGTGCATATATACAATGGAATACTACTCAGCTACAAAAAAGAATGAAATAATACCATTTGCAGCAACATAGTATAGTACAGTATGATACAGACTATCATACTAAGTGAAATCAGTCAGAAAGAGAAAGACAAATACCATATGATATCATTTATATGTGGAATTTAAAATACGATTTAAATGAATCTATCTATGAAACAGGAACAGAATCACGGACACAAAGAACAGACTGGCAGTTGCCAAGAGGAAGACGACTGGAGAAGAGATGGAGTAGGCAGTTGAGGTTAGCGGATATGTTTTTATACATAGAATGGATGAATAACAAGGTCATACTGTATAGCCCAGAGAGCTATATTTAATATTCTATGATTAAACCATAATGGAAAAGAATATTTTAAAACAGAATTTCAGGAATTCCCTAGTGGTCCAGTGGTTGGGACTCTGCACTCTCACTGCTGAGAGCTCTTAATTCAATCTCTGGTCAGGGGAACTATAAAATCCCACAAGTTGTATGGCACAGCCAGAAAGTAAAAACAAATTAAAAAATGATTTTAAAAATTAAGGAAAAAAGAATGTGTGTGTGTGTGTGTATATGTATATATTAAAAAAACACTGAATCACTCTGTTGTACAGCAGTAATCAACACAACGTTGTAAATCAACTATACCTGAATAAAAAAATTTTTTTAAAGTAAGCTTTTGTAACTAGGTAAAAATGGACACATGCCTAAAGAGAAAAGGAGATGGGAAGAAAAAAGGAAAATTTTTTAGGATGTTGAAATTTTACATGATCCCCCTACCTTCTGGGAAAGGTGGTTCAATTAATGCATCTCCCTATCCACAAAGGTCAGCTTCACACTGAATCTCCCCCACCCCTCCTAGTAGTAAACTGAATTCCTTGTATGTAAATATTCATATATTCTTAAAATCTCTGCTTTTGTTTATCTAAAAAGTAATATAAAAACCAGGAATACAGGAGAACTGCCTCAACTTGATCAAGGGCATCTATGAAAACCCATAGATAACATCATACTTACTGTTGAAAGACTTAAAACTTAACCGGCTAAGATCAGCAACAAGTCAACACTGTTCTGGAGGTTCTTGCTGGGGCAATAAAATGAAATAAAAGAACCAAGATTGGAAAGAAAAAGGTAAAACTATCTCCATCTGCAGATGACATGGCCTTGTACACAGAAAACCCTGGATACACGTTTATGTATGGCTGAGTCCCTTTGCTGTTCACTTGAAACTATTACAACATTGTTAATCAGCTATACTCCAGTACAAAATAAAAAGTTAAAGAAAACCCTGAGAAACTCACTAAACAACTATAAGAACTAATAAGGGTTAGAGGAGAGAAGATTGCTAAGACAAAAATCAATTGCATTTCTATACAGTGGCAATGAACAATCCAAAAATGAAATTAAGAAAAAACTCCATTTACAATAGCATCAAGAAGAATAAGATACTTAGGAATAAATTTAATAAGAAAAGTATAGAATTTTTACTCTGAAAACTAGAAAACACTGTTTAAAAAAATTAAGATGATCTACATAAACAGACACCCATATTCATGGATCAGAAGACTTAATATTATTAAAATAGCATTACTCCCCAAATTGATTTATAGTTTCAACAAAGGCCCTATCAAAATCCTAGCTGGCTTCTTTGCAGAAATTAACAAGCTCATCTGAAAATTTACATGAAAATCCAAGGGATCCAAAATAACCAAAATAATCTTGAATTACAAAACATACTACAAAGTTATAGTAATCAAGATGGTATGGTACTGGCATAAAGGCAGACATAAGATCAATGGGACAAAATCAAGAAACCACCAATAAACCTATATCCATGGTCAACTGATTTTCCACAAAGTTGCCAAGACAATTTAATGGGGAAACAATAGTCTTTTTTGATAAATGGTGCAAGGACAACTGGATGTCCACTGGTAAGAGAGTGAATGTGGGTCCTTACCTCAGACCATATACAAAAATGATCTGCTTAGACAATTCTCCTAAGATTTATAAATGGCCAACAAGCACCTGAAAAAAACGCTCAGTATCATTAGCCATCAAGAAATAAAAATCAAAACCACAGGAAAAACCAGTTCACACTCACTAGGATGGCTATAATAAAAATGAGACATAATAACAAGCACTGCTGAGGATGTGGAGAAACTGTATGAATGGGTTCGGGTTAAGTAAAACGTGGTATTATTCATACAACAGACTATATTACTAAAATAATAAGTGAAGTAGTAGTGATACATGCGACAACATGGACGAACCTTGAAAACATTATGTTAAGTGAAAAAAGCCAGACACAACAAACCTCATAGTATATGATTCCCTTTATAAGAAATAGCCAGAATAGGCAAGTTCACAGAAAGTTGGCTGGGGTGGGGGGTGGGGAGGTGGGCGGAGATAGTTGAAAAAAGAAGGGGAGTGACTGTTAATGGGTATAAGGTTTTTTGGCCAGGTGATCAAAATGTTATAAAATTGATTGTGGTGATGACCGCACACCTTTGAATATACTAAAAACCACTGAATTGTATTTTCTTGGGCTACAAAATCACTGCGGATAATGACTACAGCCACGAAATTAAAAGATGCTTGCTCCTTGGAAGAAAAGCTATGACAAACCTAGATGGCATATTAAAAAGCAAAGACAACATTACCGGCAAAGATCTGTCTAGTCAAAGCTATGGTTTTTCCAGTAGCCATATATGGATGTGAGAGTTGGACCATAAAGAAAGCTGAGTGCCGAAGAATTGAAACTTCTGAACTGCAGTGTTGGAGAAAACTCTTGAGAGTCCCTTGGACTGTATGGAGATCCAACTAGTCCATCCTAAAGGAAATCAGTCCTGAATATTCACTGGAAGGACTGAAGCTGAAGCTGAAATTCCAGTACTTCGGCCACCTGATGTGAAGAACTGACTCATCTGAAATGACCTGATGCTTGGAAAGACTGAAGGCAGGAGAAGAGGAAGACAGGATGAGAGGTTGGATGGCATCACCGACTCAATGGACATGACTTTGAGCAAGCTCCAGGAGTTGGTGATAGACAGAGAAGCCGGGCATGCTGCAGTCCATGGGGTCGCCAAGACCAAGAGTTGGACATGACTGAGCGACTGAACTGATTGAATTGTACATTTTAAATACATGCCCATCTCCATCTCTGCCAGCCCTCAGCAAACACTAATTTACCTTCTGTCTCCAGATATTTACCTATTCTGCACTTCATTTTTTTTCCTGTTCAATAATATTCCATGTTTGCATATACCACATTTTGTATACCAGCTCACCAACTGATGGACATTTGGGTTGTGTTCACTTTTTGGCCATTATGAACAATGCCGCTATAAATACTTGCAGACATGTTTTTATTTTCTGGGCATGTACCAAGGAGTGCAACTGCTGGGTCATATGGTAACTCTATGTTTAAGCTTGTGACAAC